CTAGTTGTCATGTAAAAAAAAGTTTAGATTGGTCTGAGGTTTCTCTGGTGGGCAGGGCAGAGTGTTACATGAAGTAGGCCAACATCAGAAATCGTATGGTAAGTGAACTTGACTAGTAATTTTAACTACTTTAATTTAAAATGGGTCACGTGCATACACACTCTTACACAGAAGTTCCACACAAAAATTAAGGGTGCAAAACAGCTTCATAAGTCTATACATATATTCATGCAAAATATAAACAATATTTTTAAATTACTTTACGCATAAAATAAGAAGCACACAGTCATACAACATGATCATGGTCGCACAATCATCTTTAAATGAAATGTTTGTTCAACTTTTTATTGCATGAAATGTATTTACAGTGTTGTTACTGTGGCACTCCAAAGACAATAATGTCAGTTTACTGATAAAAAATACAATTATTTCAGCTCAAATTACTGTGTTGCTCTCTTTACATTTAACCTGAACAGCTGGCCCATTTTAACTGAGTTGAGGTAAAATGGGCCAGGGGGAACCTGCTAATGTACCTGCTAACTCAAACTCTCATAATTCTAAAACAATTATACTTTTTTCACATTCTTTTAACAAAAAACGTTTTAAAGACCCATGCCAATTTTTAAAAATATGTTCTCATCTCAGATCTCATGCTTATTTGATTTAGTCAGATATAGTCAGCCGCTTTTTGGTAAATGACTTAGAGGACAAAGTAATTTAGGCCTACCAAAAAAGCGTCCCATTTTAGCTGACTACACCCCAGTGCATCAGGTCACATTGTCACCAGGGTTGGGAGGGTTACTTTTAAAATGTACTCTGATACAATTACTAATTACCTGTTATTATGTTAAAATTTATTTAGTAGCCAAATCTAATCCAAGTATCACAAAATTAAAGTAATGTAGGCTAACCTGATTACTTTCCATTACTTTTGGATTACCTCAATGGCATATATGTAAATAAAGACAACAGCAATAAGAGAGCATTTAGGTTAGGTAACGTTAGCTAATTAACATTAACATGTTTTAACTGGATTTTTGCGTAGCCGTGGTCCTGTAAGTGTTTCTTTAAATAACAAGTTTCTTTAAATAAAAAGTCAAGTCCTTGGATAGTGACAGGACTTTTATAGCTGGCAAGCAAAATCTGCATTGCACAATTATGTTGTTCCCATTTTCTGAAAGACAAAACTGTTTCTAAATTTTCACCCAGTGAAGGTGTTTTTGTTGGTGGCAGTGGTGGGAAGGTTACTTTGGAAATGTGATAGGTCACCGATTACAAGTTGCCCTATTTAAAATGTAATACTAGTGTAACTATTTCAATTACTTTATCAAACTAATTTAACTTGTTACATTTAATAATTTTTTCTAATTTCTAATGAATCTTTTTAACTGTTAACCATTCTCAAAAGACAGCTTGTGGGTAACGCTGCAAATTCAAACATGACAAACAAACAAAAGCATCTGAAAAGCATCAAACTTTCCTAAATGGCCATGGCTGGAAATGGCAAAGAAAGACATTGTGCACATTAAAAACATGCAAACAACAAAATGAATAGTATTCAAAATATATAGCAGAGGTTCACATTTGAACTTTTTCCAGATCCATCTCACGGTCTTCAGACAGTCTTCTACAGACTTTGCTCGATGACTGAGTGAACAGTAGTTCATTGAACAACAGCCACCCACAAAAGACAGGCTGTGAGGACTGTGACATGTCACTGAATGCTCCAGAAAAAGCTAGTGGAAACAAATTAAATTCCACTCACCTCTATTGTGTTTGGCTGAAGACAGAAATCTCAGTGATTGAGATCTGAAAACCTGGGCATATAAACATGATGTTTCCTGCTCATTTCCCCTTTGATGTTTACCTTTAAGCCAGCACTTTGCTATAATTAATGTGCTTTTTCTTTCTACATATAGTACCTCCCAACTTACATTTATCGCACAGGTCAGTAATCGAAATAGAGAGTGTTCTCGGGTAACTTTAGTTCAATATACTTACTGAGGGAATAGAATTTCTATAATACAACCAATGCATTTTAATGTTCAGAAAGCTTAAGAACACTCAACAACAATAACAGAGGAGAGTGAAGGTATCGGATGACTAACTACAGTTTGGATTCAGGTTGAGAATGTTTAAGAGTATTTTAGTTTCAGCAGCTGGCAAATGTTCAAGAAGATAAATTTCTTCACCACCAAAGAAATCCACACAGGTTGTTACATGTTATGTTTTTTCTGTCAGAAAGACAACTTGTTACAACACATTATTATACAGAAATATTTCCTCACGGTTTACTAGCTCTCTGTTTTGTGTGTGCTTGGCTCTGACCAGACCAAAAATCTTGTTTTCCCCTGGCTCTGTAAAGAAAGTGGTGTGGACCTTGCCACACAACATTGTTCCTCATGCACATGAGTGAGGGGGGCAGTGGGAGTTCTATACACCGGCACATTCTCCAGGCGTTCTGAAGAAGGAGAGATGGCCGAGAGACAGCAAAAGAGGAAAATGTCTGAAAAGAATAAACAGAGAAGAAAGTTATATAACCAGGCGAGGATGAAGGCATTTTAATGCTGGAGAAACCTCAGAGATTTTGGTATCTAAAATAATAAATCATTTTGTCTTATGTCATCACTCTTATACTGTGCTATTTATTCTATTATCTTAAATGTATTCTTTTTTAATTGTGCTATAAATATGGACACTCACTGACCACTAGGTACACCTTGCTAGTACCTGGACCCCCTTTTGCCTTCAGAAATGCCTTAATTCTTCGTGGCATACCTTCAATAGGATGTTGGAAACATTTCTCCGAGATTTTGTCCATATTAACATGATAGCATTCCACAGTTGCTGCAGATTTGTCGGCTGCACATCCATGATGCGAATCTCCCATTCCACCACATCCCAAAGGTGCTCTATTGGATTGAGATCTGGTGACTGTGGAGGCCGTTCGAGGACAGTGAACTCATTGTCATGTTCAAGAAATCAGTTTGAGATGATTTTAGCTTTGTGACATGGTGCATGATCCTGCTGGAAGAAGACATCAGAAGATGGGTACACGGTGGCCATGAAGGGATGGACATGGTCAGCAACAATACTCGGGTAGGCCGTCGTGTTTGAACAATGCTTAATTGGTTCTAAGGGGCTCAAAGTTAGCCAAGAAAATATCCCCCACACCATTACACCACCAGCAGCAGCCTGAACGTTGATACAAGGCATGATGGATCCATGCTTTCATGTTGTTCAACAAATTCTGACCCTACCATCTGAATGTTGCAGCTGAAATCGAGACTCATCAGACCAGGCAACGTGTGTTCAGTCTTCTATGGTACAATTTTGGTGAGCCTGAGTGAACTGTAGACTCAGTTTCCTGTTCTTAGCTGACAGGAGTGTCGCCCGGTGTGGTCTTCTGCTTCTGTAACCCATCTGTTCAGTGTTCAACGTGCTGTGCGTTCAGAGATGGTATTCTGCATACCTTGGTTGTAATGACATCAACAAGGCATTTTCATCCCCACAGCTGCCACTCACTGGATATTTTCTCTTTTTCAGACCATCCTCTGTAAACCCTGGAGATGGTTGTGTGAAAATCTTTCTGAAATACTCAGACCAGCCTGTCTGGCACAAACAACCATGCCACATTCAAAGTCACTTAAATCCCCTTTCTTCCCCATTCTGATGCTCGGTTTGAACTTCAGCAAGTTGTGTTGACCACGTCTACATGCCAAAGTGCATTGTTGCTGCCATGTGATTGGCTGATTAGCTTGGGTTGGGTTATAAAGCAATTGAAGAGGTGTACCTAATTAAGTGGTGTGTGAGAGTACATTTATTAATATAGCCTACAAATACTTTAATTTTGTATCATATTCCATAATTATCACATTATAATAGATTACATTTATTATGCATCTCTTATATATCGCTATCTATATCGGTTTCTACTTTCTTCCCACCTTCCACTTAATTTCCCTCCCGCAATCACTAAGGTTGTTTTTTCACTCAAGATCTCAAGCGAAAATCTAAGCAATGTACCATCAGAATTTGTTTTTTATCACTTAATTATGGTCAGTTGTAACTCATGGTGTTTATGTAAGTTGTCTACATATGACAGACTTTCAACCAAAACCACTAGGAAGGGAGACACTGAGGTCACTTGCTCTATTTGGGGGGGTAGAGTAGTGTGTTCGTGTGTGTGTGTTGGGGTAATGTTACTTAAATGGTATAATTAGGTTGCACTTTTAATATTTTGCTCTACACCTGTATATGGGAGATGTACCTTACAACACAGCTCAACAACTGGTTTGGCTTGTGACTCCCTAACACAAAGCAGTGTCACTTGAGACACTTCATCACATGTGGTTCTTGAATGTGAATAGTTCAACCAAAGAGTGATTTAATAATTTCTGTGGGGCTGTAGAATTTCTGTACTTATATAATACAAAACCCTGACTGTGGGATCTGCTGCCTTACAACATAAAGCAATCCAGTGAAATGATGCAATGTTTGTAAATATCATTTCCACTGCTCTGTACATCAAGCAAATCAAAAGGCAGGTGCTGTTTCTTCTTGTCAGGTCGGGTCAACTCGGGTCAAAGAAAATAGAATATGCATCAGACAATGTAGGTATTCAACGTGCCACCAGATGGTAGCTGTATGTTTTACCATGCTGCCTTGATTTGTCTGTGTTGATAAGGGTGAACAAAAACAACCAAGGAAACAAACAAGATAAAAAGGAAGACAGACAGTATCCAGGATATCCTGCTATACCCTGAGGAGACCTCAGTGTCAACAATGACAACAGATGGGAGTGGATTTGCTTTTAAAGCCAACATGGGTACTTCAAATGTTCTGACTTTAGCGCTTCTATATGGCAGTTAAAGCATGCTGCAAAGTTTGGGATAGTATCACAAAACTGTAGTGTGATTAGAACAACTGTTAAATAATCAAATATTCTACACACAGTGGCACAATAATAATATATAAATAATGCAAAGCACAAAAAAAAAAACTATTAAAATCTTTATTTTTCTACAAAGACATTACTCTCAGACTGCAAATGATGCTCTGATGACATCACTCTGTTTAAGGCTAAACACACTGACTTTTCAAATTCAAAAGACTTCTTCATCTCAGTCTCTCGCTGTATCAGTCAACTGGGAAGCCAAAGAAATGCTGGAACTTAAAACAGCAGCTTTCTGTGCGCTGAGGCAGCTCAGCAGTGACATGGCGCTTGTGACAAAACAAGAAGGCCTGCATTATTACTGGCCGAGGCAAATAACAAAAAGGCACATGAAGTTCTGTAAAGACTCACACTGAGGTGCAGTATCAAAGCATCTGGCTTGTTATGCAATACAGTTCATACTAACTTGTACTTCCACTTGCTTGGCTATTAAAATATATCTAAAATATATTAAGCAATTCACCGTTGGTCGAGTATATTTTGAAATATAAATAATTAGATTCAAGTATTGCAGGTTTAAAGCTACAAAGCATGACCCCAACTGAGTCAACCGAGTACTAGTAGACTAGTTTGCCAGACATCGGACCCACTTATATAATGAAATCACAATAAGCAAGGTTTTGAAGACATCTTAATTCTTAAAGCTGCAAAAATCAATATTTTTATAGTAACAATGAATAAAATGGTTCGGTGCAATGCAAAATGAGTCTCTTGTGGTTATGAAACTACTACCCCAACGTTTCCCATAAGCTCTACAGAGCATTTCAGAAGAGATAATGCACCGATGTTTTCAGCTTGTTCCCTGGCAAAATGGCCCAAAAATGTATTTTATTTAATGCAGCTACAAAATTGTTTTTGTTGTCCTGCAGCTGGGTTTCAGTAATCCAAAGCAACAGGCTCCCCATGTAACTTTACAATAACTCTACAAAAGACTGTATTATCAGTGTGGCTCATCCTGAAGAAAAAATAATAATAATAATAATTTCTGTTATGACAGATTAATGTCTTCAATCAGAGAATAATGCAACGCAGCTGAGAAAAATGAACTAAAGATATTAACCGACATCTGACCTAAGGCACAACAAAACTTCCTAATATTGCTAAGCTGAAATGCAGAAACTCCTGTGGTGGTTTAAGATGGCCGATTGGTGGGCAGAAACATCCGTCTACACGACATAAATGCCACTGTCATTCTGCCTCCGATATGCTTGGTCAGTTTAACCACACATGTGCATCCGGTGAGATGAAACATTACAGATACCTTTGTCATAATTTACTGCTTCTCTTACACCAGCCACGTGACGTCTCTCTGAGCTAAAGCATCTCTTTAACATACAGTCCTCACACAAAAAAATAAAGATCATGAGGCGAGAAATGTGACATAAAATTTGAAGCTTCCTAGCAGAATTGCAGATATGTAGAGAAGACTGTCACACATAATGGGATCAAGACAGTGACAGGTCTGTTTCTTTACTCCTTGATGAAAATCCTCCTGAGGTCCACAAGCAGGCAGACATCCTCATGTTGTTCAGTCATCACTTTCACTGCCTGATTCGCTCAGCTGGAGGTCATTCTCTGCAACACAAGTAGATAGAAGAAGAGTTTGCTTGTATACATGTATCAATAAACACAACTATACCTTTTCGTGCTTATTTCTTCAGTATTTTGTTGTATAATTTTACTGGGTACTCTTATCATTTTAGTATGTTCTTTCACACTTTGTAACTTTAGAAGGAACAAGCAGTCATTCAGTTAGGGAGTGTGATCTCTTTTCACCGACTGTTTCTGATTCCTGTGGTGCATCTTCCACTTTAGACAAATGTATGATACACTGTTACAGTAATACAGTGCAACATAGTAGCAACAGGGGGAAAAAAAATAAATTTTGCTTTTAAGCATTTGACTACAGAGTTTCATTCGTGAACTCCTGTGATTTATACTGACATATCCCTCTGAACCAAGGCATCACTATCGTCCTTAATTTGATGAAGAAAATGATCATGAAACATTAATGTGACATATTTGAAGTATGTTGATGCAGAAGCAAACAAACTTCAAATTTAATGTCATATTAACCTCTATTTTAATATTTTAAGCATGCTCTTCTGATGAAGATTAAATGAGTGCCTGTTTGCGTAAGAGTGAAATTGAGTTGCTTCTGCTTTCATTTGTTTGCTGACACTGTCAAACTCCTAGCTCACTGAATTTGGAGCAACTGGTCATTCATGATTGACGATACTTAATTTCGCAACGATAACAGCAGCCATCTCTGCGCAACACTTGGTGGTTTGCACCTTCCTTTCAAACGTATTAAATACAGATGCTGTTGAACTCACATGAAATTGCTTTTAGGCTTGTTAGATCACATTGTGTGTAGTAAATAAATGTATTTGCATGTTACCCTCCCATTACTTTGCACAATAAAATTGAAACAGCCCAAATTGCATATTCATTAAGGCAAAAGTAGGAAATGAACAACAGGTGCACTTTTGAAGACATCATTCTCCGTGCACACCGTAAGTAGATCAGCTTACAAGTTAATTTGCTGGTGATAACGTTTGCACAAGTTTTTAATTACGCAAACCTGGCCCTCAGACGGGTCTGAGAGGGCTACTCACTGAGTGTGTTCATGAGTCCTCCTCCACCCTCCTGGTGGCGGCTGTTGGTGTTGGCGCTGGTGTTGATGATAGGCATGCTGGGGTTGGCTGGGGCCGAGGGTGGCGCAGAAGTCCGTTCATCTTCTGAGTCACTGCTGCTGGAGCTGTCGTCACTGCTAGAGGATGAGGAGCTGTTCGAATCTGAGGAGCTGTCGCCACTGCTAAGCTGATCCATGACCCGCGCCTCTGCCATCAACTCTGTACACAGTAGCAAACAAAGATAAACACGTGTGACAAGTATCCCAATTTATGGAACCCAAGCAGTCAAATGCCAATCACTGACCCAAGCAGAGTAACGGTTTCCCCTAGATGAGAATGTACTTAAAATTATGAAATGCTCATAAAAGTCACTACAGTTGAAGATATTCTGCCTTAAGCCATGTTACCTCTCTCGATGTCGTCCATGGGGGATGCTGGGGGTGTCTTCTCTTTGGGGGGAGAACTCTTGGAGCTGGCTGAGGTCTTGCTACTGCTGCTATTGTTACTCTTCATCTGCTGGCTCAGGCGACTGGTTTGTTGCTCTATGCGAGAATGGATCTTACTGCTGCCCTCAGCCCTGGAAATACACATGTACAATACAAGCAAAGACATGCAGAATGTTTCTATTAAGAGGTTGCACAAGTTTAAAATTAAATTTTGGAAATATTGGTAAAATAAAATGTGAACCAGCACATGAGAGGTTGTGACAAATGTACATTGCCTGTTTTATTTTAGATATGTAGACTCTCCTTTATATACAGTCTATGTTTCTCTTTCTCAGTCAAGCTCAAAAACTATTTAACTATAAAATGGCTTTAATATTAACGTCTGGCATTTTTACTCAGGTTTTTTATGCTTAATATGCACATTTAAAAATGTGGATGGAAACACGAATACAAATAACAAATGGTAAAATGTGTTGAAGAAAGAGAAGAAAAGGTAGTAACATCATTTGTATGCAATTTCTTAACCCACCTGGTTTTTTTCACAGCTATATTGCTGTTGAGTTTTTCCAGTCTGTACTCTCCTGTGTCATGGTTCACAATGAGGATGCATTCTTTCATGTACGGTCTCTTGGATCCCTTGAAGACTGTTACTGGAGCACTTGAACCCTAAAAAATAAACAAAAAAAAACAAAAAAACACATGAAAACAGGTAGGATTATGGCCAGGATTTTTGGAAATGCTGGAGACATTTGTGTCCTTTCCACCAGAGAGTTTTGACCAGACACCAAAAATAAAGTCTCACATTATATTACTCGTATTTTGTAAAAACATTCGTTGATCATATAATCTGTACATTTTATTGCTCACAGTAAAAGGTCACACACATACACACTGACCTCTAAATTAGGTAAAGTAATAGTGACTTGCTCTCCTTTGCCCACTTCAAGATCCCCTTCACATGTTGTATCAATGGAGGCTGGTTTGAAGTCATCTGTGACAAAAAAAACAAATATGAAAAAGGAGAATTTTGTACATATTATACACTTTTACATAAATATCATCTGCTCAACATTAACTTCAGTTGCATTTTCTTATTTGTAGATATTATCAGAGACATTTTAGAGGACTTTGATATTATCCAAACACAACGACAGTTGGTCCCTCACTGCTGCAGTTGCCTACCGGTGCCACCAGATGGAGGAAGTGTACAGATTGACGCAATGCTAACATTAGCTAACGTTTTGACATAAATAGACATCAATTGTTTGTAATATAGGTTAACGAGCTTATGAAGACAACAAACATGGAGAACTGTCAGCTTAATAAACCGTGTCAACATCAGACAGATACAAAAGGAGTGACGAGGCTGCTAAGTTGGCTAAACGTCAAACGGTTCCCTTCGGATTTTTAGCAAAAAAGCTAACTAGCATGCTACTGTTAGCTACTGTAAAGCATAGTGATTCGAAATCCCACTTACATCGCACCGTATGGTAGGCACTTTTAGGGTGTTTCTCAAAAGTCTCTCCCAATTTCAGGACATGTTCTTGATTGTCAAAGTTGGAATACGCTGTTCCATTCATTCTGAGAGTTTCATGAGCTGTAAACTTTCTGCTTCCTTTTTACCCGATAACCATGTATGGCAAAGCGCTGGCCACCTCATTGGTACCGTTAAGACCCGCCTCCTCTTTGTTATGATTGGTCAAGTGGACCGTTCTGTTGTCTGATTGATTCAACGTCGGTCAATCAGGATTTCGTAATGACAGGGCAGCTTCAGGGCAAATATCACATGGTTTCTTGACTATTATGATCAGCATTTTATGACCTGCGCAGTTTGATGCATTGTGCTACACAACCAGTTTATATTGTTAATCTGATCCAAAGTTTTTGTATACCGGTAGTTACATCTTCTAAAAAAATTACTATTCACATAGCATGGATTGTTGCACAGCGGTATCATTGTTAGACTCAATCAAATGTGAACAAGTAGGATGCTAAATATAATTTATCATAATTATTTCAGATTTACATGTGTGATACTTGTAGTTCATTCAACATTCTCCACTTATCCTTTCAAACCATAATAATGCTGAAAACAGATTTTGTTTGTTTGTTTAGCTTTTGTTTAAAACAGGTCCAGGTTGGCATGATTTGAAGATTTGGAATTTCTCAAAGAAATGTCAGTATATCTTTTACTGTGGTTATATGCTCTTATGTATGTTTTCTCCTGGTTAAACATCTACCGAATGTCAGCAGATGAATATGTGGCTTATGCTATCTCATTTAAGAATCAGAACCAGAATTAGAAACATATTGATCCCCAAGGAGAAATTATTTTGTCACAGTTACTCAAGGCATAAGGAATAGAAATAATAATAGAAAGTAGAATAAGTAGAATAAAGAATATATAAATATAAGAGTATAAATAAAAAATATAAAGGAGTGTGGGTATGTACAATATTTACATTATTAAAAAATTGTTATGGTAGAACAGTACTAGTGAATAAATAGCAGCAGAATAACAGCAGAGAATATTGCACATTAATTATTAAACAGATAATATTGTACAAAAACAGATAATAAGGTCTAGTTTAATAACTAACTAAGGGCCCGTGTGTCAGCCACTTAGAGGTAGGAGTTATAGAGTTTGATGGCCACAGGCAGGAATGACTTCCTGTGGTGCACTGTGGCCCATTTTGGGGGATGAGTCTTGCTCTGAAAGTGCTCCTGTGTTTGAGCAGAACGTCATGGAATGTCAATTTACATTTCTCTTTTTTGCCAATTTTTTGTATCTTCTTTTTTGAAAACCTACTTTTATTTTAAGATTTTTCACATTCATCACTTTTTTATGTGTTATAGTGTTTTTTTTGTTTTTTATAATCTTGTCATTTTTTATTGGTGTTTGTGTTTTTTGATGTTTTACTCATAATTCCCCACACTTTTATTCAGATTGTTGTTTGTTGTTTTCATTATGTACAGCACTTTGCAACCTTATGAAAGGTGCCAGTATATAAAAGCATGTTATTACTTTTTCTGTCGATCACTGAACATATTCCTTTATCTAAATTAGCAGCATCACTGGGCTGAGCTGTTAACGTAATTACTGAATTAGCTGGAATAGCTCAAACACAGAGTGGAGGTCCTGAATGTCTGGCAGCAAGAGACTAATGAACTGCTGCAGTAACATTTACTGACTTCAGTTTCAAGCTCAACAGACTGCAGGGGCTTTGAGCTCCATGAGCCTTGTGGCAGTGAAAATAATCTCTTTTCCTTTCTTTAAACTGTTAATGATTCCTAAGCCTTAAACCCCCGCCCTGTCTGCACTTACTGTGTCCATATGCTCTGCTGCCTTCAAACATTAAAGGATCAACATCTTACAACATCTTACAAGATTACACAAGTGTGTTATCACCAATTTGTCATCATCACATTGTCTTGGGAATTGTGAAATAGAAATAAACAACAGAGAGGGAAGAGGTATTGAACAGACATTAGCCACTTCTGCAACCTTTGACCTCTAGTTAGGGTAGGGATTAGAGTAAAACAGCTGTAAGGAAAATCTAGTATAAAGAAAAAGATGTAGGAATGGTCTCAGAAATGGACAGCAAAGATTAATAAAACATTATTAGGTAATTTTGAACACTCTACATGAATTGAATTACTTGATTTTCCAATTTTTTTGTGATTAGTTCCTATTTTAAAGATGCCAGTGCCGTGTTAAAAAATGACCAAGACAAGTTGCAAAAGACCAGGACTCCTGTTTCATTGTATAGGTATCCCTTGTGAAAAGAAACCAGCAGGGGTCCGTTTCCATGGATGGAGGTAAACAGTGTCTGTCCTCAGATGATATCAGTTACTGTGGTTGGCCTTGGACAGTGGGAGGCAAGGTTTACTGTTTCCAAGCAACTATCCGCAAATTCACAATACTGTGGTCAAGCCACAATAGAGAGTTCCCCGGTTGTAAGGTAGTAGCAGTGATGGGAGAGATGCCAGCTCCGGTCTGCACAGAGTAAGACTCTTTAGTTCATAAAGCAGTTTGCTAGGCTACATACAATTAACATTTCACTTGTTAAGTGTGCAAGCTTATAACCATACTATTAATACAGGCGTATAATGTTATAGAAATAAATTAATGAATTACACTTCATGCATAAACTGTAAATAATTTTAAGCAGGTTCCACTTAAAAAATCTAAGTTCCCTTCCTACCTTAAAAATCTGCTGGACAATGTGACAAAGTGCCCTCTAAGGTGCTCTTTTAGTGGAGAAAATGTGATGAAGAGCAGTAATGGGTGCCCTTTCAGTGGAGAAAACGCAATACAGTATAGGATGCCCTTCTTGCTGGAAAATTAGTCAGCCTCCACATGCTCCTATATGCGAGAAAACATGCCCTCATGATGACTTTTTATTTCTCCTTTTTATTTAGCTACTTAATGAACCTTCAGTCTAATGTTTTTATAATATAGGGCACTTTATCTATTATAATGTACATAGGTTTCTATTTTTGGATACTCAGTGTAGAAAAGAAGAGAAGCAGTAGACACATCAGGGTCAGATTTGACTCATACTGAATCATGGGGAGCCACATAATTGTGGCCACCACCATGATCTCGGCTCTCAGCATTTTCAGTCTTGAGGGGAGCCGAAGAGTTGGTCAGATTGTCTGAGAGTGGCCACAGCCAGCTTTTTTCATCTGAGCCAATCAGGAGCAGAGAGCGAGCGTTTGTCCTATGGTTAGTGCTGCCTTCACTTGCAATCGGAAATTACTAGACAAATCACAACATGAACAATCAAGCAAAGCATGGATGGGCCAAAAATGTATTATAGATCCCAAAAAGTTCAAATTTTGCCTTTATGAATAAAATTAAACTATGTTGTATTTATATGCAAAACTGCACCAAGCAGTTAGCACCTTGATGATTTAGCATCCTAAACTATACTTGCGCTAATAATAATCCTAACTAGCAGCATGTTACAACAGCATGGCTACTGCGGGAAGAACTTTATGTTAAAGCTCGGGTATGTAATTTATTTCAGAAATATGCCATTTTCATATTTGTTGATCCCGACAGCAATCAATAAATCAAATTGCTGACAAAAAAAGGAAATAATCCGGTATATGGGACTCTCACAGGATTGCATGGAAGTGACTCTGAGCTGTTTGATTAAAAAATGTTTTTTAAAAGAGCAACCTAATAGATAAGTTTCCAATTTCGGGGCCACACAAAAGCCCATTCATCAATTTATTACTTTAAGATTTTGTCACATGACTTATTTGACAACCTGGATAAGACAGTTCACCTCTAGTTTTCTGGACAACGCACATTTCTTGATGTGTTAATCAACTGACTTGCCAAACAAAAGTTGGATGATAAACAGGATGACAAAAACAAAGCCGCCAAAAACACCAACACATCATGTTCTATTTTTATTACATGTGAAATCACACTATCAAGCTGTAAAGAAGACATATTCCGTTGATCTGAATTTAAAACAGGGAGTATTGATTTTACGAGCAGCGCGTGAAGGCAGCACAGTTCCCAAGGAGTAGACCACCGCAAAGGAAAGAGGCCGTGGATCCGGGATCCTCCGGTAAAATATCACAAACCAGCACAAGGGAAGGACAGAGAATAAATGAATGGTCAAGCGGTGTGTGATTTTATGTCGGTGCCGTTACTGTCCGGTGTGCACGGGTCCCGGTCTGTAACTCACATCAGATCCTTCAATCCGAGGAGAGACGGATGTTCAACCTGCTATCTGGATCTGAATCCAGCCAGAAACGGGACTTCTTCTCTCTGATGTGACGGAGGTGAACGCGCCCAGAAAGCAACTCTGAGTAAGTAGCCTAGCCTCTCAAGAACGCAACAGAAATTGTATTTCGTTATGAAATCAAAACACAGACCGGTCTGAGGATGCCTGGTTGAGTATTTTGCTTTACAAGTCAATTTTGCAATTCTTGTAGGGATTTGTTGTCCTCAGCTGTGATTTTACACTGACCTTTACATGCTTAATGTTTCCCCCAATTAGCAGTCTTTATACACAGGTTAGCTACAGAATCCCGGCTTAATTTAAGGCATCTCTACTTACATATTTACTTAATGTTTTAGCTGCTGGTGTGTAAAAAAATGGAAAACAGACTGGCAATGTGTGTGGTCTTAATAAGAGCTGCAGATATACTAATTTATTTATAATTTATTTATTGATTAATTTATTTACAGACAAAAATGATCACAACTTCACAGAACCCAAAGTGACCTCAGATATGTAGAGATATATTAACTATGGAAGACATATTGATGTAGGCGTCTGTATTGTCACAATGGACCTTGCTGTGAGATATTTTGTTGACCACTGTTTTGAAGCTCAAGAAGGAACCTTAAATCTCATTTTTAAAGCCAACATGGACAAAAAGTGTTTTGTTTTTTTAAGAAATTCAAACATTTGCATTTCCACTTTACCTACTGAGAAAGACTGTGTGATTTGATTGATAGCTAGGTACTAAATGGCACCCGTGGTGGAATTATTTTGTCAACCTCAAATTTACAGTGATATTAAAGGGGTAAAAAGCAACAAATTGCCTCAGATTTCATTTGATTATTTAGTTTGACTAATAAAATAATCTAAAAACGAATGAGAACTTATCTTAATTGATTGGTTTCTGTAGCCAAAAGCTCAGGCAGTACCCGAAATGACGTGTCGGACTCCCACACTAAAGAAATTAACATCATTACCTGAATCAGAGGAGAGGAAACAGCTGTCAGGTTGAACAATGCTCACTTTTGGGATCTGTCTCGACAGCCTGAACACTGTCGTCAGTATCAAACAGCCCTATGGGACTGTAACTGTGGTGTCTGCAGATTTCTTTAAAAACAAACTCAGCTGGGGAGATTCCTGTTGGTCGATATGGAGAATGTAAAACCATGCATCCATGAAGGATGACTCTTTATTTTTTGTTCTCTTTAAGTGATGCTATTTAGTAAATGAGAAAGTAAGGCATTGTTGTTATTGCTTATTTCCCTTGGGGAGTCCCTAGAGTCTCCTATATACTCCCTGGAGTCCTTCAGTTCAACATTTTGGGGATGACAGCAGCCAGGTGCATCCAAGCCATGACTGGAAATGCCTCTAGGGCTGATGGGAGGGCTGGCTGACTTCCAGACTGCAATCAGATAATGTTAATGAATACGGTAAAATTGTGCTATTTGCACTAGCAGCAGTTTCTTTGTTTTCCAGGAATGGAAACTACTGTATAATGAACCTCAGTGCTTCTACACATAAATAGTTGATGAAAACTGACTTAGTTGGAGGCTTTTTTCCCTTTCCAGATGAGGGTCACATGACTGGAAAACCATTTGGATTATCATGGGTGCTCTCACAAAAGCATCCCCCACAGGACATGTACTTGTGCACTTTCAAACATGTTATTGCTTAGCTTGCATAATGTCTGGTGTGTATGGGTTTTAAGCAGAAACGAGAATATGAACTAGTTTTAATTTAGTGATGCATTCATCTGGACTTAGTTAACACTTAGGTAAGTTAGTGCTGTTTTAAAATGTATAGAACAGTTTATGCAACCAGCTGCTGAGGAGTTTACATTTGACAAATGCACACTACATTATAGGCTACATAGTAGGCTGGTTTTCATATTTTAAATTAGATAAAACAAACAAACAAAATCTTTAATTAAAAAATTAAGTTTAGGTTCAGTATTTTCTTCACCTGAATTATGTAGAATTATATTCTTGGCAATGTGGAGAGGCCTTAAAAATAACCTTTAAATCATCTTTTAGGGAGAAAACATTTAGAGAAAAACGGCTGTAAAAATAAATCTTTAATTTCAGCTAGAACCAAACATTTCTTAGGAGTGGGATGTTGTGTTGGGGAATTTAAACTCCGCACTTATAAATCCTGGCTAGAGCACTTATTGGATATCGTAAGTATTGAAAGACATAACGCATGTCTGAGGTTTGTAAATCACCTCGCTCTCAGGGCCTTTTTCTTTCAGAATCAGAAGGAGTTTTATTGCCAAGTAGTGTTTTACACATACGACAAATTTGCTGTGGTGATAAGGTGCTACACGTAGACAAACATACAGTCAACATAAATAAATGTGGAAATATATAAATATGGAATTGAAGAACAACATTGCAGATATATATACAGTATATGTGCATTATTCTGGGTCACCTTGCAACTGAACAAGACAGACAGACTAAGGCCCCATCCACAGTACTGCGTTTTAAAACGAAGACCTTTTGCTATGTTTGCACCTCCCGTCCAGACTACAACGCCGAAAGCGAAGACCTAAAACGGAGAGGTTTGAAAACACTGCAGACCCTTTTCTTTTAAAACTCATTTTGGTGCGGATGGGCAAAAATGGAGGACTTTAGAAACGATGATGCAGATGCTCACATTTGGCTCTTGCAAATAACACTTACAGTCGTTATTGACGGAGATCAGTTCAGATATACTGCTAAAATGCTGGTGTGAACGGAGATCATATGCGTTTTAAACCCAGTATGAAACAAAAAATTGTTGATCTACAATAAATTTACAATAAAATGACTGAAAACGCACATCTAGTGGCCGTTCACTTACACTGGTTCTCCGTTTTTGCCCGTCCACACTAAAATGCTACCCGGAGTTTTAAAACGAAAAACAGAGTCAGCCGCGTTTTCAAACTTCTCTGTTTTAGGTCTTCGTTGTCGCTATTTTAGTCCGAATGGGAGGTGCAAATGTAACAAAAGGTCTCAGTAGTAGTAGCAGTTGTGTGGATGGGGCCTAATGTAACTCAGTGGGAGAACCCACACTGTAGAATCTCATGGATTCCTATCTTAGCTGTACAACATGGACTTAATCAGTGAGGTGATGTGAATAAAGGTCAAGCAGTGGACTTGCTGACTTTTACAGCTTCCTGCTAGATACGGACACACACACACACACACACACACACACACACGTAGCCAAACAGGTCAATAACACTAGATTTAATGAGACAGGTCGATCTATCAGGCTAAGCCACCAGAAATGCGTGGCAGGTATCCTAAGGCCCCCAGGGTCCTCTAATGCTAATGTACACACTTGTGACAGGCATCGTAATGTACCAGTTTTGTTTTGGGACAAGATCTGCTTGGCTGGACAGAGTATCAGTACCTTCCATTAACTTATTGGCTGACATCAGGTGTTTCTTTAGTCCATTGACTTCCAATTACTTAGAACTTAAGTAATAGTCATTACTGTGGTCATTAAAGGATTAAGGTCATATGTTATGAGCTGTTTTTTGCACAGTATAAAAATGACCAGTTCTGATACTCATAATCTAAGTACATATCAAGATTTTAGCATATGTCCTTGGATGACACTGTCCAACAAACTGATCAAAAACACACAGATAATCATAATCTATCATGACACAGAGAACAGGGTTTGTCTGTTTTGTATTTCATGTTTTGAGCGGACAAGAGACTGCTCTTAAAGCTAATAAATAAAAAGCCAGTGGTATCCTCTCATGATGATCATATGTCCAAATTAGTGATTTATTTTTAACAGTGGGACATAGATCATTGCATTGAACATCAATTACAAGTGATTACGCATTAATCTGCCATATTATGATAGAAATATCAGAGAAATATTCCTAGTTATTTGAGCAAAATATCTTACCTGAACTTAACTGAGTAAACTCCATCTGCTGAGGAAATGCAGTGGAAAGCTCTGGAAAAAGATTTTTTGTTTGTTTTCAATCTCTACTTTCTTATTAATATTTTTCATATCCATTTAAACCATAGTGCCATAAGTGCAGTGGCCCTTGGTTAAAATCAGTGTGAATGGTTGTCTATGTCAGCCCTGTGATAAGCTGGCAGTCTAATCATGGTGTCCCTCACCTCTCACCCAGTGTAAGGTGGGATCATAGACGGTATATAAAAGGGGTGGGATAGGCTCCAGACCCCATGACCTTCCACAGGATAAGCGTTTGTAGGTAATGAATGGATGATTTCAACCATATCACCCAGCCCTATCATGTACACTGCAACCGCTTCCAGCTGTTTTTATTGACTTGAGTCTTCTGAGGGTGCACAGCTCATCGTGGTTTGAATCTGTTATACCCCAGACTTCCCAGAAATGTGTTCTACATCTCAAGATCTATGTAGCATTTTTACATAGAGGGACATGAACATTTTTTTAAATAGTACAAAGCAGAAGAGAGAATGTATTTAAAAATCCTCCACCTTGCTGTTGATGTCAGTCAAAAGGAACTCAGCCTTCTCAGCCTTGATGAAAGGAATGCCACCTCGCTTCAAGAGCAAAGTGATTACACCTGCATAAAAATAACAAGTACCATTTCAAAAATCTGGCCCAAGTGATGCACTGGAAAAGACATCCCTGATGTCAAGGTTGTTGATGGTGATTCATTTGGAGATTTATAGTTTGGAATTCAGGTCAAACACAATAATGTAAGCTAAATAATGATGATAATGGGAGTGTGTTCGAGGCAGCATTGAACCTCGTACATCGAACCCATTGTCCCCTGAGAACCTCCTTTGTTCTCGCATCCTGCTTGCAGGATAAGCTGTAACACATCCTCTTGTGTCCTGCTAGAACATCAGTCATAGCTGCATGAACAGCTTCATGAAGGCGACATGACTGACTGTGTGAGTGAGTGAGTGAGTGAGTGAGTGAGAGAGACTATCACCCATCTTCCCCCTTTTACCAATGAATACAATCAACAAAGGGCACTGTGTGTGGATGACAGTCTGGAGTCCCTATCCCAATTATGGACAACCACTAATTACCAGTGGTGTAATTAAGAATCGGGCAGCTGTGGCATACTAACACTGC